ACATCCAAGGCAAGCAGTCTTTGTAAATAGAGAGGTCAGTATCAAGAGATAGGGCAATAATTATGAATAAAATAAAACATTTCACTTTTTTTAACATAAAAAGTATACATGAAAACCTGTTGATTATATATATATATATATATATATATATATATATATATTATAATTATTTTAAAAAAAATATGATTCCTTCGCTACATATTAGTTCTCATGTTTTAAAAACGAGAGCCGAAAACCTCAATATAATTATTAAAATTAAATTGAGTTAAAGTATCAATCCCTGTTTCATACTCAAGCGAAAATTTAGGAATAACCACTCTTGAAATTTACGCATCTTTATAAGCATGTTCATTCGCAAAAGTAATTACTATGGAAACGGCTGGGGGTGACCATTTTGGTTAGGGGCCTAAGAGATAATTTTTATCCACATATCAGTCACCTTCGGGAAGAGATCAAGCCGAGGTAGGGTGGGGGTATCCAATTCAAGGCGAATGATGGCATTCATGTGCGCACATCGTCTGGTCAGTCATAGCGAAGGATAGCTTTTGGCAGCATAATATATCGTTAAGTGTCTAGAGAATTTTGTGTTATTTTATTTATTTATTTATTTATTTATCCTTTTTTTTCTCTAAAGTGCTGTTTCGTACTTAAACGCGTCGCACTGAACTACAATTTGTTTTTTTGACGACTTCATAAAGGGTTTTTCTATCTTATGATTAGGTTAAGCTAGGTACCTCCACGAGATCGCTAAAAAAAGATGAAAAAAACGCCAAACTTGACGAAAACAAAATTTTATCGTCTAAATGTTTATGTTATTATTAAGAGGAAAGATCAAAGTATTTTGGGGGTATTTTTTTTTCATTTTTTAATCGTTCCCAGTACGTCCGAAATTTTCGTTAAAAATCTTGGTTTTTTTGAGTCAGCAAAATTGACCATTTTTTTTCCATTTTATTAAAAAAACTGGAAATCTCACTTTGAAATTCTTTTAAATATCAATTATCATTTTTTGAAAACTTATTTTAAAAAAATCAGAAATTATAATGTTTATTTAAAATATTTTGAACCAAGCTTAACTTAGCTTTTGCGCCGAAAAGATGTAATTTGAAAATAGAACAAAGCAGGTCATAAATTTTCGCGTCACTTGACAGGTGATGAATGACATATTGACGGATTCCGTGAGGATAATTTGTTCTACGGAAGGATAAAAGTGAAATAATTTACATTTAAGTGAATAAATTATTTACCTCGTTATTTTTTAAAAAAAACTTTCAGCGCTCTAATTATTTTATTTTGTTTTTTTTTGTACTTAGCTTTCATCTTTACGTTTACGATGCTTTATGGAAAAAAATAAGACTGTTAAGATTGACATTAAATTTCATATTTCACAAGAAAGGTATCTAATTAATTTATAGGTACCTTTCTTATGAAATTTTATTAGAAGTGTACATAAAATACTATAATTTTATGTACATTTTACTGTGTTGTTTGTATTTCCTTTCATTTTATTATTAATTTTGATATTTCATTTATGGAAAAAATGTCATAACTTAGATTAATATAAAAATAAGATCATATAACTTTCCTAAGATGATACTGATACTTGTAGGTACCCTTCTCAGTTGAAATTGAAAAATCAAATTAACTTATCCACACGTGTTTCGCAAAAGTAAAGTCCTTAACAGCGGAGAACAATGCTTAACTGAAATAACGCAACTTAATTCTATTCTGGTTGGTCTTCCGTACTTTATAATTACAGCCCGATTATAAACAGAAAATCACATTTTTTAATTACTGCGGATCTTCTGATTAGTCAAAATGATACAATTTACAACGGGCTAAAAAAGATCTATTTCATAAGGAGACTTAGGAAACCAGATGCGGCTTTTAACTAATTTTATAATATTTTAACTACTTAAATGTAAAAATGTATTATAATTAAGAAATAACAAATAATTGTATTAAAAATTCATTTTTCATCGAAAAAAATTTTTGCTTTCAGAAAATATTGTCCATATTCATAAGAACAACTAAAAGCAAATAAAAGTTTTTGAAATTAAATAATATCTTTATTTTATTGAGTCTTGTATGTTACAATTCAGAGCTGATTTTCAGGTAGGGTGATCTAATTAAAAACAAAAAAAACATGATTTGCATTCCTCAAAGCCTGGTGCTTTTAACTATTGTAATCACTAAACCCGATGCGATCGAATTTTAAGAGTTTGCATAAAATTAGTTATGGGAGGGGGGTAATAAATATTTAAAAAAAGATTTCTGCCATGACTTTAATAAAAAAAACATATTTATAATAATTTCGATCATCTGTGAATAGTTTCTGAAAGTTTCATTAACATCCGATAATTATTTATATTTTTGCAAGATTTTCCAAATTAATGTGCGTCATACCAAAAAAAACGTGCTAAAAATTGTTATTTACTAGTTCCGCTGATACAAAGAGAAACAAGTTTTTTTAATCAAAATTTAGAATGTTCTAAAAAGAAGGAAAAATTTAAAAAAGTAATTAAAAAAAACTTTGGTCTTTCCTCTTAATAATAACATAAGCATTTAGACGATAAAATTTTGTTTACAGCAAGGTTGGTGTCTTTTTCATCAAGCTATGCTCTTTTTTAGCGATTTCGTCGAGGTGCCTAGGTTAAGCTTTTAAACCTTTTATTAGACTATAAATTTAATTTTTTATGCTAATTATTTAATGCGAAAATTTGTTGATGTCGGCAGAAAACCGTTAACTCATGTCTATGGTTTAATAAATTTTCATTATTTAGAAACTTAATAATGTGTAGTTTTTCATGTAGGCATAAAGGTCATGGTTCATCCCAGGTTTTACAAGTTCTTGTTCTATTTATTATTTTCCATTTTACTTTTGGTGTTTTATTCATTTCTTTTAAATGCCAAAAATATTTGGATAGAGATGTCTGATTTCTATTTCTAATATTATTGAAGGAGCTTTTGTGTTGTTTCTATCTAATTTTAAATTCATTCTTCGTTGAACCAATGTGTATCCTATCAGTGTTAGGACTATCAATGGATGAGATAGTGCATTGGTATACCACAGATTTTGTGCGGCATTTATTTTCCAACGGGCAGTCTTCAGGGTTTCTACAATCACATGATTTTTCATTATTTTTGTCTAATTTTAGTTTAGGATTTTTATTAATACTGTTTTGGCATGCGTGTTTTCCAGGATTTTGTTATTATGTTTTTTTTATGATTGTTTCTCGATTCTCAGTGCAACTGTAAATTAATTTTAAGGTGTTTTTATTAAAGATCTTGCTAAGTCTGCTATTAGTAAGAAAGTGTTTTTCAATTAAAGCTAGAAACTTATGTTCTAGCTTAATACTAACCATTTGGTTGAACGGAGGGGTATACCAAATGATTTTCCTTTTCCTGTTTTTCTTCTGGTTAGTACTATTATTTCTATAATTTATGTTAGCGTTTTTGTATCCGCTATTTTTTACTGGTGCAGATATATCTGATAAATATATTTATGCATATATCT